ATTACAATTAAATCACTGTTTACTAGCAAATTTTGTACCTCAGATTACTTTCTATGTCAGATAACAAATTTTAACACTTGATGTCTGCTTTGCCAGAGACAGTTCAGCGCTTGAGAGGCTCCCAAGACAAGTATGGGAGAGGAGAAGTATTGGACTGCATACCATACTGAAGGCCTACAGAGCTCTTGTGCTGACCTCATTGTTGTATGCCTGTGAAAGCTGGACACCATACCAGCGCCATGCCAGGAACATGAATCTCTTCCATTTGAATTGTCTCAGGAAGATTCTGAAGATCACCTTGCAAGATAAAGTACTGGGCACTGAGGTCCTTCCCTCAAGTTAGACTTCCAAGCACACTCTACTTCAGAGAGCACATTTCTGATGCATTGGCTGCGTTGTTCAAATGCGAAAAGGATGTTTGCCTGAAAGACTATTTTACAGAGAACTCATGCAAAGAAGGCACTCATAAGGTGGTCAGAAGAGGTGATACAAGGACATTCCCAAGGTGTCTCTGAAGAACTTTGTAATCAATTGTGAGTCATGAGAGACACTGGCAAAGGACCACCCAGTGTGGTGTGCCCACATCAGAGAATGTGCTCTGCTATGTGAGTAAAGCAGAATGGCAGTAGCTCAAAAGAATGGTGAGATGTACAAATTCAGAGCCATCTCCAGCCCAAATGTTCACATGAACTCTTTGTGCCCAACCTGTGGTAGAAGCTTCTGGGCTCTATTAGTCTGATCATCCATGGTCAGGTACACTGTACCTTCACCCTGACATAGTGATGTCATTTTGGTTCACTTGAAGCACCATGAACAACAAAAATGACCAACTGTGTAACTAAATATTACCATAAAGAAATATATGTTATTGACAAATTAAAGCAATCATAAAGTGAAGGCGTAAGATGTTCTGGCCATGACACATCATACCCAGGGCAGCCTCAAGCCCTCAATGTAACAACAGATAACACTCCTTCACTTGGCTGGAAAGTCTCATAGCCCTCAGTTTAGTCCAGATTGTAATTAGTATGTCTCTAGAAGCCTTTTCATGTTTTATCTAGGTAAGACTTTGTTTCAGCCTCTCAGGAAATATATTAGATCTTTACTTTTTCTTTCCTCTCTTCTGCAATCACACATAAATTCATATACCCCTACAGAATACACTGTACTTGCCAGCTTCTTAGAAACTCCCCACAGAATTTTCTCTATAACATATCACTTCTTTCAGTTCTGAGAAGGCAGAAATTGCAGATCATCTTCTGTCTGTCTCTTCCATAGAACCTCCTACCTCACAGGTAGAATACATACTTTTGCCCACATTCCATAGGGAGACAATTGACCACATCAAATGCTTTTCTCAATATTCCATTGGGCTCTTAATGATGATGCTTTCAAGTGTTGACTCTGACACTCATCAAGGGTACCACCTTTGGGTAAACCTCTTCCTGTGCCTCAGTTTCCTCCTCTCATTTGATGAGGGTTAGACTACAGGAATCCTGGAGTCTCTTTCAACTCTAAATCTTGTGACTTTTGATGGTTTAGGAGCTGGTGACATTCCAGGATGTGGCTGTGGACTTCACCCAGGAGGAGTGGGGCCTCTTGGACCCTCCTCAGAAGGAGCTGTACAAGGAGGTCATGCTGGAGATTGCTCGGAACCTGCTGTCGCTGGGTGAGGACATGTCGCCTGGCCCCTCTGAGTCTGCAATCCAAGGGAATACCTTCATTCCTGAGTGTGCTGGGTTGGAAGCATTTATCAATTACTAGAAAGAGAAAAGTTCTGGTCTCCTGTGTCCAAGAGACAGGGTCCCCTGCTGCCTGGTTTTCCTATAAAAAGTCAGTACACTGTGTGAAGAGAACCTGGAGGTTTCCTGGTTGTTCCTGAAGCTGTCTCTTGTCAATCCTAGGTAGCTTGAGGTCAAAGTTCAGATCAATGTTGAAGCATCTCAGGTGTGGAAGTAATCCCACATTATGTAGTCCAGCCTCTCCCTGGACATGAATTTTGTCTGCCAAGTCTCTGGAAACTGCTCAGGCAGCTTTTGCTTGTGACCCCTTCCTCTTTGGGATGGCCCTACTGTAGGGAACATTCTTCTTAAGAAGCCTCAATTTGCAGCTCACAGCGCCCCCCTTGTGTCTGCTATAACAGGTTTGTCCTCAATCTTCCTTTACAGGGCCCCCATTCCAGCACAGATGGTGGGAAAGACAGGAAGGGAATAAGCCTTTCTATTCACCTGCTGTTCACCAGCTGTTGTGCTAAGTACTTCCTTTACAATATTATGTCATTAGGTGATATTATTATCCCCATTTGACATTTGAGTAAACTGAAGCAAACAGAGGTTAAGTGGCTTTTCCAGAGGCACACAGCCAGTAACTACCTGAGGCTGGATTTAAACCCTGGCATCCCTGACTCCAGGCCCAGGGTTCTCTCCACTGCACTACCAGCTGCCTCTGATTTCTAGATAATGGAAACTTTGCAGTGAGTCCATCCTTCTATGAAGAAGATGTGCCAAGACCAAATTTTCTGATTCCTAATTGCCTCCATGATCTTCTCCCCCAACTCTCCCCAAAGCTCCCACAATAAATGCTGTGGAAACCTCACTTAAGGAGTCCTGGGAACCATCCTGTCCTCCTTGTTTGCAAGGCCCTGTCGATGGCAGGAATAACAGACTGGCCAAGAGTCAGAATTTGGACTAACTAAGGTTCACTGAGTTTCCCAGCTGGAGAATCTCACCAGAAGAGGCCAAGACTCCCTGAATGGACAGCAACAAGGTATTTATAAGTTTCAGGGAGGGAGGAGCAGGGCCAAAGGTGGTTCTTGCTGGAGCTCAAGGCTGATGGGGCACATTCTATTTTGGGTTACTGGCATTATAAGCATTAGTGGGAGAAGAAGCCAGATATTTGTGAACGTGATGGAGTGATTCTCAAAATGCAGTAGCCTTGTATTCACACTCTATTCCCTAAAGGAAGCTAAATTACAAGTTTTCTCTGTCCTCATCCCTCATTCTCCATGCCCAGGGCTGCCAGTTCCCAGAGAAGATTTGATCTCTTATTTGGAGGAAAGGGAAGCACCATGGCTGCTGGAGCTAGAAGGCCTGAGGAGCTGCTGTCCAGGTGAGTGAGGTGAGAACTGGGATTACAAGAGGCTTCTAGCTGTGGTGATGAAGCAAGTGGTAGATTTGGGGGCAGGAAGACTTGACTCGGAATTCTTTTTTGGACACTTTTTAGCAGTGGGATCCTGGAGAACTCAAAGAACCTCTGAGCCTCAGTTTCCCCATGTTTAAAATTGGGGAGTTAGACACTTTAAGCTCTATTCCAATAATAAATCTGTGATCCTATAAAAACTCATTGTTTAGAATTTGTAGGCAGGAATTCCCCCTGAAATTGCGAAAAGGGGTTAGGTTTTCCAATATGGTCTCTTTCTTAAACCTTCTTCAAGTCAATGAGTATTTATTAAATGCCTGCTACATGCCAGATTCTCTGCTAAGCACCAGGGATCTAAAGAGATACAAGGGACATCCCTTGCTCTCCTGGAGCTCACAGACTGGTGGGACAGACAACATGCCAACAATAATGTAGAACCCTGTTAAGGACAGGACAAATTGGAGTTTATTGAGAGGGTAGATACTAAGTGAAGGAGGACTGGAAAGGCTTATTGTGGAAGGGGGGGCTCTAGCTGGGGATTCAGCGAAGCCAGGGTGAGCATTCTAGGCACAGGATGGTGAGGACAGCCTGTGGAGTCAGGTGATGTAGTGTCCTGTTCACAAAATAGAAAGGAGGCCCATAGCACTGCATTATAGCATGTTTGGTGGGCATATAAGATGAAAGAAGACTGGAAGAGTAGGAGAGGGGTTGGTAATAAAGGGGTGTGTAGTGGCAGTGTTAGGAGAAAAGGGGGTGAATGGGAGAAATGTTACCTAGGTGGATCACAGAACTTTGCAGCAGATTGCGTATGGGGGTCAGGAGTGTGAATGTGTGAGAGTCAGGTAGGGGTGCATGACACTTCATTTGTGAGTCTGTACTATTGGGAGGATGCCTTGGAGAACCTTAGGAAAGTAAGAGGGCTGAGGGAAAAAGAATGACTTTAGTTAAGAAACACAGGAGAGGAGTGTCACTAAAAATGACAGAGAGAGAGAGAGAGAGAGAGAGAGAGAGAGAGAGAGAGAGAGAGA